CATAAGAGAAGGAATATGTGAGAACTCTCTGTTCAGAGATTGTGTAAATCTAAAACTGTTTTTAAAAATAAAGTCTATTAAGTAGGGAGGATGGGATCAGCAGGGCCTGAGGATGTAGCTCAGTGGTGAAGTGTTTGTCTAGCATGCACAAGATCCTGGGATGGAGCCTGGGTGGGAGTAGGGAGCCACTTGCAACAGGAGCAAATTATGCACCCCACCCCTAACTTCATGACATGCAAGCACTCTGTCCTCGACAGCAACTTCTTCTGCGCTTAGCTAGCCTCATAAACTTTGTCACTGTGACTTGTCACTTTGTCACTTATTAAAGCCATCATCCAAGTAGACCAGGCTTAAAACTCCACTATGACAAAAGAGGTTGAATCTTGTTTCCAAAAGGTTATTTTCACAAACTACAAGTCCTGGGTGTTTTCTTGAATACCATGAAAGACTCCTCATGTTACAGTGAAACATTATCAAAGCCCCTTCCTCCCTTCTATCTATTTGGCCACACACCAATAGTTGTTGCAATTGCAATTTTCCCCTTAAAAACTCCAGGACCCCCCCCGCCCCGCCGCTGCCGCCGCCGCCGTCATCATATATTTCTTGTCCTCTCCACAACCCTCTCGGGTCTGATTCTAAAGCATAAAAACCAAGACTGTTCTGTGAGCCCGTGGCCTCCACAGGCCTTGTTGAAAGAGGCTGGGTGAAACAGAGTAGAAAAAGTTGGCATCCTTTTTTGTGAGATGACTGGAGGGGAGCAGGCCAGCCTCCTGGCAGCCCTCCTGTCCCTCTCCTACCACACTCTGCCTGCATGAGCTCATCCATCCTCGTGTCTGCAGTTTCCACCTCTCCACAATGACTGCCAGATTCCTACCAGCAACCCAAAACTCTGCTCTCAGCTCCAGACCCATGTACCAAATGCCTCGTCAACATTTCCCTGTGGGGTTGGGTAGGGTAGGATTACATTCTGCTGTGAGTAACAGAGACTATAAAATACAGTGTCCCTAACAAAAGAGCTTCTTTCTCTTACATTTAAAAGTCTGGAAATAAAACACCCAGCCTAGGGCTGACATGGGGATCCTGCTCTAGGTCATGGTGTCCTTGTCAGTCACTCCTGTGCTATTACTCAGGCATGTCTTTTGATCTCATAGCCCAAAGTGGAGGCTGAAACCCAGCCATCCTGTAGATATTCCAAGCCAAGGGGCAGAGCAGTGTGGGATGAGGAGCAATGGGCTCCCACCAGCTGTTTCAAGAAGGGTGCTGGAAGATGACACAGAGCTTCTGCTCTGTCTCATTAGCCAGACTGGTCACATGGCCACAGTTAAGCAGCAAGGTGGGCTGGGAGGTAAGTTCTTTATGTGAAGTGACCACACGCATGACACAACGGGAGGATTCTGTCATCAAGAAAGTGAGGGTTGAGCCGGGTGTGGTGATGCAGGTGTGTAATCTCAGCACTTGGCAAACTGAGGCAGGAGGATTCTGAGTTCAAAGTAAGCATAGCTACCTAGCAACTTCAAGTCTGGTTTGAACAACCCAGCAATACTGCATCACTCTGCTCAAAAAACAAACAAACAAACAAACCACTACACGAGCAAAATAACAACAAAAGCCCAGAAAGGAAAATGAGAGTAGAGCTGGAGATGTAGCTCAATGTACCATGCTTGCCTAGATGTATGAGGCTCTGGATGTAATCCCTAGCCCTGAAAGAAGAAGAGAGAACAAGAGGAGGAGGGGTAGGAGAGGAGAAGAGGAGGAGGAAAGAGGGAAGGAAGGGAGGGAAAGGAAAGGAAGGTATTAGGTGGGGTCACCAGCACTGTCTAGCCAGGACCTCCACCATCTCCTCACACTTGGCACGGCTGAGATGGAAACTAAATCTTTCTCAGTGCTTCCTTCTCCCTTCGTTTTGCTCCTTTTCCTCCCTCCTCCCTCTGTGGGCAGGGGCTGGTCAGGAACACCCAGGGGTGAGGAACAGACAGCAAAGACCCAAACAGAAGCCACCCAAGTGGAGCGAGTGGGGTTGGGGGCCTCCTGAGCACAGGACAGGCGACCTGTGGGATGGAACATACAGCTGGGTCTGAGACTGCAAGCGGCAGGGGCTGAGCCCAGCTCTTCATTCTGCTGGCTGCCAAGTACCTCGATGCCATCCACTTTCAGCCTCCACCTGTTGTGTCCTCCCTGTTCCTCAGGGGTCACCTCTTTCAAGAAGCCCTGAGTCCAGCCAGGACACCCCCCCCACCCCGTAGCACAGTGGGAGAAGGGGCTGCCCACAGAGAACATCAGTATGGAGTTCTGGAGGTGGCTCCAGTTCTGGTTCTCTGGATGCTTATGGGGCAGGGTAGTGGGGAGATGCAGTTGTGAGGTGGGACCCCAGGTCTTCCTTTCCATGAACAGAACTGTGACAGCAGCAGCTGTCAAAGCCAGCAGTGGAGCTCCTGGCCACCGGGCTCCTCTGGGAGTAGGGAGGGGCTGGGTCCTCAGTGAGGAAAATGATGCTGCCCAGGGCCGTGGCCCTGAGAGGAAGTCCATCTGGGCGGGTGCAGGCCGAGTAATTCCTGGAAGGAAGCTCACACCTCAGGAACCTGGTAGAGAAACACTCCAGAGGGCTCGGTTCGGGAGCTGCCCACTTCACATCTCCAGTGCCCGGCAAGCAGCTGGGAACATGGTGCTGCCTGAGCTGGAGGTGCTGAGCCTCTGCAGCTGGAATAAGGGTGCAGCTCAGAGGCAGCCTGTGAGGCAGGATTGGCAAGACTCCATTCTCTCTCAGCCTTACAGTTACACAAAAAGCCTTTCCATGGTGTGGACCTGAGGTGGCAGTCAGGTCCCCAGTCAGTCTGCAGTGCATCTCAAGGCTTCCTCTGCAGAGCCCCATGAGGGTCAGTGTCACATGCCTGGGTGTGTGTGTCTGTGTGTCTGCCCTGAGCCCTGGCAGAGAAGCCAGGTTTGGCAGGGGTGTTGATGGGGAAACTAGAAGTTCCCTCCACGGTCCCTCAGCACTGACAGGAGTTGGTGAGGGTTGGCATGTCCTAAAGCAAACTTTACTTCCGGCCCTAAAGCTGCCTGCTGCTCCACCCTGTCATGATCACCTGCCTCCCAACCAGAGTCCCTGGAAGAGCCTCCTGGCAGTGCCTAGGGCCAGGGGCGCTTTGAGCAGACACAGTATCCACAGCCAGGCCCTCCAGAGGGAAGGATGCTGAGGAGTAGGCCAGGCCTGGGAGCTCAGAAGGCAGGCTATACTGAGGGGGCCAGGCGAGAGCCCCGGAGCTCAGGGCTGGGAAGGGAACTTGAGCGGTCGGCAAGGCGGGTCATGCCTTGGATTGTTTGGGTCTTCTCCTTGGGAGCCCTGGGGAGCCTTGTGGTGCTGAAGTCAAGGGTCAGATTTGCACCTTTGAAAGGCTAATTACAAGCCAGAGATAGATGAGGAGCAGAGCAGGGAGAGAGGGGAGCAGAGCATTGGCTGGGAGGGGAAGAGTCTGGGCAGAGGCCCAGGAGGAGAGATCTGGCCAGGGGAGCAGCTGCTGCACTGATCCTTCCTCGTCCTCTGCCCTCCAGAGAGAATCAGGAAGCTAGTGAAGTCAGTGGGTGGGCCCACCATCATGCTGTACAAAAGCAGGAGGAAGACAAAAGGGCACCGTAGGGCGAGGGGCAGGGGCTCTGCGGACCTTGGTCCATTCTCCTGCCCAGAATTTCTGAGGCATTGATTGACTCTGAAGGATTCACTGGGGTCATCTGCTATCCTTCTCTGTGTCAGACTGGAAGCTGCCCAAAGGTGGGGCCTGTGACTCCCAACTCAGACAGAAGGGGCCTGAAAGGGGGTGCCAAGCAGGGGTGGGGACACCCTAAGGTCTTCATTCCTGCTGCTGTTCTTCTAGGGGAAGAACCAATCCTTGGAGGCGGGGGTGGGGGTGGAGGAAAACGGATGGAGAGAGTAGAAGGGGAAAAGATAAACAAGGGGTAGGCCTGTGTGAGCAGCCAAAGCCTGCCCTAGGTCTCAAGCTCACACTGTGCCTTCCCTGGCTTAGCTTTGCCTCTAAGGAGAGGGAGGCCAGGGACCACCATCATATATGAACAGACGAACGCAAACACAGTCACACACCCAGACGCAAAGATACAAGACGGAGAGACACATACACACATAACATGGAGACAAACACACAACCGGGTAGCCAGTGGAGATTGCTGATTGGATGCTTTGTTGGCTCCCAACCAGCTACCCATGGCCAGAACTATTGGTACAGTGCATCTCCCAGGCACAACCTGGTTAAGAAGACCCTTTGGGATGATGGTCCTGAGACTAAGGGCAGCAAGCCCAGGGGGAGATGACACTGTAGCTTGGGAGAGAAGAGGAGGAAACAGCCCAGAAGGGGAAATGGCCCCTACAAATGTGGCCCTGGGTATGGTGGCAAATGCCTGTGATCCCAGTACTAGGGAAGCTGAGGCGGGAGGATTGCCTTAAATTTGATTCCAGTCTGGACTACACAATGAGACGCTCTCAAAAAAACAAAATACATAGGACAAATGTGGTTCCCTGCACATGTGGGGGACCTGCCTAGGGAGCAGACACAAGGAGGTAAGAACAGAGAAGCAGATGGGGCCTCTAGGGACAAGCAGGGGACTAAAGCAGAAAGAGCCAAGGAGGGTGGGCAAAGTAAGTCAGCTGGTTAGGAAGCTCCAAACAGGTTGGAAGGGGAGGCTGCGGAGCTGGAGGGGCTGTGGCGCAGTCGCAGGTGGGTAGCTCAGGCTGAGCCCCGAGGTGGGATGTGGGAAGGAAGGGGCAGTGGAGGGGCGGTAGGAGGCCGGCAAGGGTCTGGAATTCCTCCGCCCCTCCTCCCTTCCTCCCCACCCCTCTGCTTTCCCGACCGTAGCTGGTTCGGGAGAGGCCGGGGCTGGGCTGGGGCCGGGGAGGAGGCCGCGCAGGCCCCGCCCCTCACATCTGGG